TTTTTCCCCCCCCCCCCCCCGGACTCTATGGGAACTACAACTTTGCGTTCAGTTTCCAGTATGCAATAGCTCTACCACGAGGGGCAGAGATGCAATAGTACTTTCAGCTTTTAATAATATAAATGCTTGTTTAAACAAAAAAACAAAAAAAGATAGGTCCGGTGTCTTCTACTTGCACAGATTCTACTTTGTTGCAACTCTCATATTCTTGACCGCCTATTCTTACTGAATAATGCTAATCGAAAATTGTAAGGAAGGCTTGTTTACATTCATTATGAAGGCATCCTATTCTTCACTTTTAATTTCTAAAACAAAACAACATTTGAATTACAGGTAAGTAAAAAAGCTAGAACGGTGTTTTGCGTTGCTAAAAATCAAATGTTTTCTCTATCTTTAAAGGGTTGACTATGTGTTTTTGATACTTTTACTCAATGTCATGATGAGACCAAAGTGGTTGAATTTGTCAAAATGTTCTCTATAATTAAATACTTGTTAGTGGAGCTAACAGAACGTGGGGCTCTGCTTGGAATTGAGAATAATTATATGCACAGTATGTACTAGATCTATGTCAGTTGATACACAAAACGTAAAATTAAAAAAGAAAAAAATGGCGGCATGAGATTTCAAAGAAGAACTGGCTGCTAACCAGTTAAGGCTTAAAAGAAATCAAGTTTGCTTATCTCGCTTAATATAACTTCTAACATGAATTAAGCAAATATAAACAACAAATGTAACTAGTGTAACAAATTCGAATTTCTAGAATTTGTAGATGTTATGTAAACTAATGTTATACCACAATTAGGTAAACTAATTGTGGTAGATGTTATACCACAATTTCTAGAATTAGGCCAACCGTTTAGCAATTTGAATTATCACATTGCCCATCTCAAGCTCGAACAAAAGATGAAGGTTGTGGTAGGTTAACAGCCAGCATAAAGCTAATCAATTCATGGTGAATTCTCACACTACAGATTAATATGTGAACTGAATCCACACATCATGGTTAATAGGGATTCATATAGCTGAACAAACTTACTTGGTATTGAGGTGTAGGAGTATGTCCTAGTTAGCTCGTCCCAACTCACTTTTGCAGTATGTCAACATTAAACTCTTTTATCAATCTCACGGGCGAACCAAATAAGTTTACCTTTAAATTCTTTTAGTAAAATGCATTCTCGGATATCGGTGGATTATCAAAAACACTATTACTAGTAGTAGTATACATATAAATGCAGAATGTCAAAAATTATTGTTTTGGCTCCACTAGTTTGATATTACCATCACTAAACTTCATGGTAAGCTTCTGCCATGATCAATAGCACAGTGGCTGTCCATCCAGTAAACAGGCGAGCACCTTTTCCTTTCCCTCTCTTCTGATCATATTGTTCCCACAGATACCCTGTCCGCTGATAGTTCCCAACTATATTTCTGTGATATGTTAAAAATGAAACAGTATGATTGTATACCCCATGTGAGCAGCCACTATGTATAAAGAAAATTACGGAGCAGTTTCAGTTGGGACAACAGCAGTACCTTATCAAATTGCTCCTCAAATCAGTGTAGATGGTTTTGGCTCTTTCTCTGTGTGGTCCAGGCTCTTCAAAATTGAAACAGAAATAAATTGGTTTAATGAACATCTCAAATAAAACAAAGCATCAAGAGTATTCTTGTCCTTGTTCATTTTGTACCTTGAGAGTAGTGATGAAGTGAGGAAACAATCAAATAATTCAAGGGTATCCAGATTGGCCCTCTCCAATACGGAGCGTCATGCTCTGTGTTTCGTTTCATATACATGGAGCTGTAGCATCCAAAACAACAACAGAATAACATTTCTTCAGATGTTTTTAACAAAGAAACTAGGAATGGACAAAATTGTTTGCTGGAGAGTACAACATATTTCAGTCATTGCTATCACCTTGTTTTGGATAAGGATCTCAGCCCATAGTCAGTCCACAAAATGCTCCTATTAGAGATAAGGTCAAGCTGTCTATCAAGTATCCATGAATCCTGAATGAAAATAGGCATGTACGAATCCACAATGACCAGATCAAACAAGAGCAACCAGAAAATTAATAATAAAACTTTAGAGCATTTTACTGCCAGTTGAGCCCCAAAAAAGTGAATATAAATAAAAAGCAAATCACAGTGAACGGCATGTAATATGATATTTGCTCAAATGATGCTTAAGAACTTACTGGTGGAATAAGCCTGAGGATAAATGGGAAAAGGCTCACGTAACCAAGATGAGGAACCAATTGTAAAACAGGCTTTTCTAGGACTTCTCGTACGAGCTCTCGCCTTGGGTAATTGCTGCCAGTCTCCAGTATTTTCCAAGTTAACTGAACCTGAAAGGAAAAGAGCATTCCTGAGGAAAGAGCACACACTACCTCTCAAGAACAAGTCCCTATTTTAATTTGTTTGAATTGTCTTCAAAATTTTATTTATATTATATATTGCAATTACTCTACGAGAGAGTACTGTGTCCAAGTCGTGTATAATGCATTGAAGATGTGATTGATTTTACTTAAAGCTTTTGAATATTAACTAGGTCATAAATAATCCATAAGTATAGTTTGCTAAAAGGAATTTACTTTAAAAAGTAGTAAACTGTCACTTGAACTAGTTGAGAATGACTGTAAACTGGACATTAGCAATGAAACTCAAAACTGTTATTCTGTAAATTAATTACTTCAGCTTCTCCAAGTTGGTGCATGTACTTGTGCAAAATCTTTCTTTTTCTGATGATATTGGATAATTATTAGTCAAATAAATACTCATAACAAATAATTGTAACTTACTATCATTAATTATCTATGAAAACTATAAATTGAAAAGGTCAAAACCAATCTAAAGAAAAGCCAAATTGAGAGAACGAGAGTCATTAGAGGCGATAGAGTGAAATTCAAGGTTAGTACATTTAAAAGAAATGGAGCTGGTATAAATAAGTGCAACCCGCAACCCGCAACCCGCCCCGCTATAATTTTAAAAAGATTTGCTTCAACCCGCCCCGCACCCACACCACCCAGCAATTGTGTTCCCCCGCACCTGCATCGTCTCATTGCCATCCCTAACCACATGATAAGATCCTTTCCCAGTCCAATGGTTACTTCAATATGGTATTGTTGTCCAATGGCAATTGCACAGTTTGGTTTAGATTTTGGGGCGGTTAACAAAGTTAGAGTCAATTGGCCTGTAAGCAATACAGATTATTGTTAGGCTAATATCTTTGCTAGAGTTTTTTTGTAAGAAATTATTAGGGTTTCTTCCAGTTTAGAAGAATTTGTATCGGTTTAGCTATTGACCTCCATTCTCATGTTGTAGTTCTCATCTATGTTATGATGGTGGAAAGGAAAATTTGAGCTAGTAAACGCAAAGGATCATGATCTTCAATCTACTTAACAAAATGTGAAAGCACCAAAGTAAGCATGTGTAACAAAAAACCAATTAAAAAAGAAAAAGAGTAACAGCAATTAAGAAGGCTAAACTAAAGTCATGTTACTAAGACTCAGCTAGGTTTCTCATTAGTTCTCTTTTTCCAGAGAAACTTGATTTTTTTCCCTCCGGAAGCATTTTTGAGCTCCTCTTAATTTGAGCATAAGATGCTTAAAGATATCATTTGATATTATTTTGTATTGCACGGTGACTCGTGAGCTTAACAGATTTCAAGATAGGAATTCCTCAATTTGGGTACAAGAGAACAAACTTCAAGATCCAACCTCTCGCACCTTCTCACTGGGGCATCGGTATTCCTCCTCTTTACATGCCCAAACTATCTCAGCCTCGCTTCCCGCATTTGTCCACCACGGAGGCTACTCCCACCTTGCCCATATATCTTTGTCCCTAATCTTATCTCTCCTAGTATGCCCACACATCCATCTAAACATCCTCATTTCCGCTACTTTTATCCTCTGATCGTGTGAGTTCTTGACTGGCCAACACTCGGCCCCATACAACATATTTGGTCTAACACTCACTCTATAGAACTTACCTTTAAGTCTCGGTGGCACATTCTTATCACATAGGACACTGGATGCGAGGCTCCATTTCATCTACCCCGCTCCAATACGATGTGTGACATCATCATCAATCTCCCCATTTCCTTGGATTTTTGACCCAAGATATTTGAAGCTTCCTCTCTTGGGGATGACCTGTGTATCAATTCACTTCCACATCCGCCTCAAAGTGCAATGTGCTAAATAAGGTAAAACAGCATGCATGGAAAATAAGACAAGATTCCAATGAGTTAATCATGGATAAGACCAGGAAGAACCAGCAAAAGTACTTCATCTGAACTTGGTCAGGTTTGGAATGTAGCAAGCACAAATAAAATCTGCATCAATCACATATATGGAAAACTCAGTGGACTCTGCCCCCAGGACATGTTAATATGATAAACCACATACCTTTTCTGTATGATTTCCATAATCACAATAAGCTCCATTGGCACTGTCTAAGTGCATCTGCAACATTAAAAATCATTTGAAAGAATTTTTGACGTTCAATAAGTGCAACAGAGATTTTAAGGGGTGCCTCAGTTATCCTGTTATCATACATAGTTACAATTTAATGCTAAAACCCTATCTGGATAGGAATAATTACGGTTAGGAATTAGAAGATGTTTCACCTTGTTAAGAAGTTCAAAATCTGAGAGCATCTTTGCAGTAAAGCCATACTCCTGCAAGAGTTATTGCAGGACTCAGCAAATTATACAAAAACAATAATGCTTTAAGAAACTTCTGTATTTTAATACCTTTTCAACATCTTTATCCATCTTCAGAAGCTCTGCAATTGAACGCATGGAATTTGCTGCAAGATGCATCCAGCATCTAAGATCCACATGCCGTTCATCTTCATTTGGGTGAGATGCACGTGGATAATCATCTAATCCAGAGGATAATGTCTGTAAAAGCCAAAAATCGTACGTTTTATAGTCGATTCATGCACGAAGCAAAAAGAATCAGCCTCAGGAATGACCTAGGGTGATCACAGCGCACTGATCCTGTAATTGTTCTATAATATGGTTAATTTTGTTCGCGATTCCTTAAGAATATCTTGCCCATTTTTGTTAGGAATATAATTTAGATAATTTGGTAGATATGAACATCTCGGGGATGCAATCCCTACACAGAGTATATCTTACCCAAAAGACAAAAACAACCTAGACAAGAATCATGAACCCCACCAGAAAGTCAGATGCTACTCCTAATTCCTCGCCCAAACTCCTGTGATTAACAGTGACCTTGCTTCCCTTGATGTTTTTACTATCAAAACATTTAACAAGTCACCAACCTCTTCACCTCTTTTCATTTCGGTAGCTCCTTCCTAACCGACATACTCTTCCAATTGATGCAAAAAGATTACTGACTCCGTCCTCGGTACTCTCTCCAAAATTCCCCAAAAGCCTTAAATTGTTGCCATTCATTATGACATCTGGATTTTTGTTCGAGTTTAAATGTGTTCCTCTACCTATTAACTAGACAACAGTACCCTTAACATCTTTGACAGTGTTATACTCCGACTTAGATAGCTACTTTCTTCGATACCATAATTCCCTTCAGATGTATAATCACCTTATTTTTTGAACCTTCCTCTAGTCAACTTCCTTTTGTCATTGCAGTCCCTCTACAGACATCTGATCAAAAAAAAAATTTACTTTTGAATCTATATTAAAATAAAAACGCTGAAAGACATTGCTCTCACGCATTCTCAAACTTTTTACTTCTTTTGTAGCTTATTCTCCACACATATTTGTTGATTCCATAAATAGTACTAATAAAAAAAATCCAAGGTCTACTATTGAGTGATTAGGGATCAAATATAGGTCGTCTAATATATCAGAAATTGGAATTAGAGGGGTTCCAGTGGCTTACACTAGGGTGATTAACGACATGTACGATGGAGCTAAAACCCGGGTGAGGATTGCGGGAAGAGACTCGGAATACTTTCATGTGGTAATGGGGTTGCACTAGGGATCAGCTCTTAGCCCGTTTTTATTTGCCTTGGCGATGGATGAACCGACACGTGATGTTCAAGGGGAGGTGCCATGGTGCATGATATTTGCAGATGACATTGTACTGAATGACGAGACGCGATGTGGTGTTAACGCGAGGTTGGAGGTTTGGAGACAGACCGTAGAGTCTAAAGGCTTCAAGTTGAGCAAGACCAAGACAAAATACTTGAATGCAAGTTCAATGACATGACTCATGAAGCGGATGTAGTAGTGATGCTTGATACACAAGTCATCCCCAATCGAGGGAGTTTCAACTACCTTGGGTCAGTAATCCAAGGAAATGGAGAGATTGATGAGGATATAGCACATCGTATTAAAGCGGGGTGGATGAAATGGAGGCTCACATCCAGTATTTTATGTGATAAGAATATGCCACCTAAACTAAAAGGTAAGTTCTATAGAGCGGTAGTTAGGCCGACTATATTGTATGCGGTAGAGTGTTGGCCAGTCAAAACCTCACATGTCCATAAGAAGGTAGCAGAGGATGTTGAGATGGATGTGCGGGCATACCAGGTTAGGTAAGATTGGGAATGAAGTTATTCGGGATGAGGTGGGTGTGGCCTCCATGGAGGATACGATGCGGGAAGCAAGACTTAGATGGTTCGAACATGTGAAAAGGAGAGGCACAGATGCCCTAATAAGGAGGTATGAAAGGTTAGCCTTGATTGGTATGAGGAGAGGTAGAGGTAGGCCAAAGAAGTATTGGGGAGAGGTGATTAGGCAGGACATGATGCTGCTTCATCTTACAGAGGACATGACCCTTGATAGGAGGGTGTGGAGGTCGAGTATTAGGGTGGAGAGTTAGTTGGTAGTCATGCGTTTTTCTTGCCCATACTAGTAGTATTAGTGTTAGTATGTACTTTCTTATTTTTCATATTTATTTTCTATCACTGTCTATTGTTTCTTTCGATTCGGTTTTCTTGTTATCTTGTTGGGGTTATGGTGCTATTGCTTTTTTATTTTTATTGGAGCCAAGGGTCTATCGGAAACAGCCTCTCTACCTCCTCAAGGTGAGGGTAAGGTCTGCGCACACACTACCCTCCCTAGACCCTAATTGTGGGATTACACGGGTTTGTTGTTGTTGTTGGAATTTTTTATATAACCGAAAAATCACCTAGGGTTAGTGGCTGCCCCTCTATCCTTCTCCACTTAAATACCAGACTTTTTTATGTGGCAAGGTTCAAAGCCATGACGTGCGCCAAACCTATGCATTGCGCTACCACTAAGACCAAAGCCCAAAGCCCAGGAGCATATCAGAAATTAGACTTGATGAAAGGAAAAGAAAAATACACATGAAAATGATACTACCTATCCAGTCTTCTGGAAAAAGGAAGCAAAAATACATCAGCAGAGATGTTTTCAGCATAGATATGTTTTAGATCAAAACCTTAGGATTTAGTTCACGGATCGTAGCAGCATCTCTTCCATGCCAGTAATAGCTGCCCAGTTCCTTTCCTGGAATTGCAATACTTAACAGGTTAAAACACATACTATGGTATTAGTAGAACTCATAGAAATATCAGAAACTGATTGGGCGCAGCAACATTGGTTCAGAACCCTGAGGGAAAAGCCTGAGTTAGAAGATATTTATTCTAAATTAAGCCAACAAATTGTTTTCCTCCCCAGGATCAAGGCTTAATTATTTTTACATCGAATAAGGCTATGGGTAAATGGGGTTGTTGTTTCCTAGCTATTCTTTAAGAAAATTAAGAGCAAGAGACCCAACATTGAACCCTTATCTAAATATGGTTAATAATTACAAATTGCTGGTGAAAGCTCAAAGCTACTTCCTAATGATAAAGATTCCTGTTTGATGTAGACCTTGCTGAAATAGTTGCTTTTTTCGTTACATAAAGTGCAGAAAATGGTTTTTCCCCCTATTGAAAATTTTTGCTCTTCCACTGCTGCTGCAGTTTTAAACACTTCATAAAGAAGACTGCAACGTCCAACGGTATTGTCACTTCTGATTTACAAAGGCACAAACTCAAAAGGGCAAACAGATGAATTCAAGCTGACACGTCGCATGATCACCACTAATTCTACACCTAGGAATAAGACAACTCTAAGATCACCAGAAAGCTGAAGGCTATCTTAAATGCTTTCTCAAAATTGTTTACATCCAACATGAAGTTAAGCAGAAACTTAATGACATAGAGGTTAATTTCTTAGCTCATCCAGTAGCAAAAAGAGTAGGTATATCCTTTTGTAAGGTAAATTCACAAGAGAGGAAATTTACCAGACTGGGTTGTGTTAAACCATTTGAACCATGCTTCAAGCCGAACAAACGCCCGGTCCAAGAAGACAGAGATATCACTTGCTTCAGCAGCAGCAAACTTTTCTTTCTTCAGGCTGGAAATTACATCTGCAATGCGAAACTTGTTAATGATTCCACACAAACTGTTCTACGACACCACTGAAAATTGCTTAGCCATACTCGTTATGAACTGATGCAGAAAATTGGGGTCCAATGAAATATGCAACACATAGTATGTTAAGCTAGCTAGAGCAGAACTTGCAGCCAACAGGTGGCAACTGAAAAATGTCACATCGATAGCAAATTGAATATTCCTCATGCTTAAGAGGAAGTTCAAGAAAATGTTCAAGCTCATGAACTGTAAGAAGATACACACTGTTGAAAGTAGATTAAACATCCAAGTGATATAGCGTAAGTGCTTTCAAGTTGACATGCAAATGTACCAGCTCCACATAAAAGCCTGATGTAATCAAATTCGGCACAGTAGACCACCACCACATATACCAATCCTGAATTACTCTTGTAATTCTTTCCGACAGAGAGCGCCATTTTATAGCTTAAAAAATACAACATCATTGTGTCTAATCTTCCTTTCTTGTATCAAAACAGAATTGACACATTTTTTTTGATAACCGAGAAATCCCCACCCCTCGAACCTGTGACGTACGCCTAATCCCACATCACGTTGGGCGCTCTTATCACTTACCATTGATCTAAAGCCCAGGGCCGAATTGACAGATTTCACTCGAAGATACATAAATTTGTTCAGCTATAACCCCAAAACACTCTCCGCCACAAGCACAGTGCAGAGAACATTGGAGAAAGCAGCTGAGCTTTTGAAAAAGACGTAAAAACAGGGCCCACACTCCGCAAAATGACCAATCAACCTGCTATGCCAGCTCTCTTACGAATTTAAAAAGTTCAAAAGGTTTATAACTGCATTGTATGATTAAACTAAAGTAGACAAGATTGAACAAGGCCAGTTAATACATGTTCCACTCACTGAGTCAGTAAAGCGTAAAGCAGTGCTCTTTATCAAGAAATAGTTGGGATTTTGGACTCTGTTAACAAACAAAAAAAAAAAAAACTTCTGAACTTCGGAATTTTAGCATAGATACCTACATAAAATCAAGGGATAATTTCAGAGACATTCCCTCACGTTTTGTGCAATCACACTGTCCTCTCTCGTGGTTTACGATATTACACATACCTCCCTTGTTTGATTTTTTGTGTAACAATTCTTTTAACATATTTATCATCAATATAAACAATTATGATCTTACTAATTTGCCCTTTTCAGTATACTTTTTAATTAAATTTGTAAATAGTTTTTAAAATAAAAATAATTCCTATCTCTGTCACTGTTAAAAATTCCTTTGGGATAATGCTCAAACCTCGTGTCTTGTTTACAAACAATCTAACAAGATCAGGATTCATATAAACATATCAACTTGCATACTATTACAACCTAAATAATATCTACAGGAGTAACAGAATGGCTAATGCTCAGCAAAAACTAAAGTGGTACCGAATTTTTTCCTCTCCCCAAACAAACAACAAAAGGGCTAAACTAGATCATAACAGATTTATCTTCTCAATTAATATTCTCTATCTTTCTTAAATCTTGCCTATTTTTATAGAATCTCCCATCGCACCCACGACACTAAAGAAACCTGCCGAAAGAATCCGACATCGGAAAAGCCTTCTAACGAGAAATAAAAGGAGGGGCTAAACCTGTATATTAATTGAATATACAAAACTGAAGTCAACTAAATAAAAAGCAAAACTAGTAAAACAATGTCTCTTTCCTTTTTTCACAGTGCCATGAGATTCCAATAAAACTAATTGTCAAGAACATAGTACGGTGGAGATTGTCCTGTAGTGTGTGCTCATATCACATCCAATGGCAAGTGATGAGAACTACAAATCAACACTCAAAAAGACTCGGGAGTTGCTGCCCGTGGATGCCCATTATCTCCTCCGGACACTGCTTCCTGTGGCGACTGACGGCCAATGTTCAATCCACCCCCCACCACAAATATTCCTTCCATTAATGCGCCAAGCCATATCCAATTGATTGGACCATGGGGTTGCAGAACTGGATGCAATTCGATTTTGTTTTTCCATAATGGGGGATGGAATAGTAAGGGGAGCGGAAATGAATTTTATTTAAAAAGCTGTTTATTAAATTAATTAATTAAAAATATATATTAAAAAGGGTAAATATTCAGATAATAATTTTTTATATTAATGATTAATATGTTAAAAGAATTGTTACACAAAAAATCAAATAAGGGAGGTATGTGTAATATCATAAATTACGTGGGACGTCAGTGTGCTTGAGCGAAATGTGAGGAGAAGTCTCCGAAATTATTCGTAAAATCAAACTATTAGCTGCATTATACAAGGATGAATATCTACCACGAGTTCACATCACATATCCTTGAGGTCCACAATCCAAAAATTGCAAACAAAGCATCCATCATTGGACAATGCAAAGCAAGCTTTAAATCGGATCTAGTTCATCAATCTTATGCAAGATGACAAGGATAGAATCAAATCTTTTATCCAATCCTATACTGCATCAAAGTTTTGGTGGGCAGATTTCGTACACCCTATCGTTGGGAACATCTGTCAAGTGTCACACAACACTTCAGACTCCACCATTGATTTCACATCTCTAACTTTTCTTGAATGTGGCATTACAACAAATATTATACTTCTTTGCATTTGTAATGACATTCTCTCCTCTTTCCTAAACTATTTTCTAGTTTTCTTGTTAACTGCAGAAAGTTACATTGTTCGTAAAAGGCTCTTTAACAGCCTCATTTCGTGTACATAATAGACCATTAGTATATGGGAGGTAAGAGCCCTCCACTTTCACCTAGAGCTATGGCATTGAGGTTGGGAGAGCCTGGTCTAGTACTAAAAGGTGATCTAAGAATGGGATTTGTGCCCTACCCATCCAAAAGAAAATGTATGGGTATCAAAAAATAGGTAGCAAATAGAAAATGGCATTGTCTAGGAATGATGCTGTTTGCTGCCAAATTCAGAGCCGTATCTTTTTTTTGCTTCAGGAAAGTACCAACTCTACGAATCCTCTTAACCAACTAGTGAAATGTTTCCATATCCATTTCAAATTGTTTAAATAAAGAGATTGAGAATAAAAATCCAGATCAGCTATGGCATATAACTTTTGTCTGCAGATTAGATTTTTAACCTCACCCTATCTTTTTCAGCTGTTTTTTCTCTCCTTCAGATTCATTTGTACATCGAAACTTGAAACTCTTCTTCTCAACCAAATGATGGAGACATCACTATTCAGCCTGTTGGTTTTAGCTTCTAATGATACTCAAAATCCATTGATTTAATATTACAAACAGATCATTAAACAAGCGGAACATATGTTCCAGCACTAATGAGAATTTAGTGTATGAATTAACAAGAAGGATATTGAATCAAAGGACAGCACAATGATGCTTGCAAAAATATAATATTAAGAGTCTTCTCCACAAGAATAAAATGTGAATATCTTCTCAAGAGTAGATTCTACAAAAAGTTTAGAAATGAATACCGCGCAAGGCCAAAAACAATGTCGGTGGATTTCCATTAGTTGGATGCTGAAGAACAAATTCTTCTGGGACCTTACTGCAAGGTTGACCAGATAGAAGCTTTAGATAGGATTACATGGAAAACTGCGAAATGGTTACCTAAGCTTAGTGGAAGCCATGATATATTACCTTAAGGCTTCAGCACCTAAGATTAGCTCGCGCGGAATCCATCCATCAATATTCATCAGATCCAGCCAATGTCCAATGATATCCAAGCTAATGTATATATCCCAACGCCTAAAGGTTTCAAGAATCCCCTAATAAGTGCAAATTAGAGGGACTAGAAACCAACTGCAAATATAATTTTTAAGCAGTAGATATGAATAAAAAAATAATAAAAAAACACGAACAAGCAACTGACCAGATTAGCAATTGATGAAAACCTTCATCCCACAGAAAGCCCCTTGGAAAGAAGGGCCTACTTGGAACTGCTGTATATAGCTCAGCAGGCCAGTACAAGACAGAATTATCCCCAGCATTCAGCTGCATGAGTCAGGAGATTGTAGAACTTCGTTAGACATCCAAATGGTTACGATTATTGAACAAATAACTGAAGGACGCTAAGAGCGAAAAAGATTCAACTTCAAGAAGTACTTGTGATCATTAAAAGAACTTTGACGGCCCAGTACTGGTAACGTGAAATGGTTAAAACCAAATATCAACCTAGCCAAATGATTCATTAGTACATCCAAATTCTTGAAGCATATACTTGGTGTGGTGCAGGGCAGAAAATTTAAAGCAGACTGCACACTCATTAGTTTACTGAAGCCAAAGAAACAAGAGAAACAGCAACTTGACTAGATGCTTTGGGGCCTTCTTCTGTTCTTTATTCTTTGAAATATCAAAAGTCATGGCAGGCAACATTAGTATGATGAAGTATATTTTGCAATCAGGTTTAACTAGAACTTTTGCTGTTCTCTGCCCCAAGAGAAGTGCGGATTTGAAGATGAGAGCATAAACATGGGAAGGTTTCCTTGTCCATAGTTCTTCTTGGAACTCTTTATTTTCAAGATTTTAGCAACTTATCCTCTTCTCTCATGGTCTCACCTTTAAGTCTCAAATCAAAATGAAACAGCAGGATATTCCTATAACCACTTAAGCATTAATAGCTGCTAGAGAGCTAGTATGTATAGTATCCCACATTGGTAGAGAAGGGTTTAGCACTATGTAAACACCTTATATAAATAGGTCTAATGTAAGACACAAATGAATACAAGATCTTTCTTCCCATATCTTAAACTCTCACATGGTATTAGAACGAGACTCAACCCAATTTATTATTTACCCAATGATGGGACCCCATCTTATATTGTCCACACTCCAACTGTCATGCCTGGATGCGAGGGGGAGTGTTAAGTTCCCACATTGGTTATGGGATGAGAGTTAGGACTCCTTTTATCATTGTGCATCATTCCGGTGACATCCGGGAAGAAAGACCTCATTGCCGAACAATTTTCCAGCGAATAAATAACTGTTCCGAGGGTTCACCGCTTCCAAGGGTACTCTGCATATACGTACCACCAATACGATCGGAATCCCCGTGCGACCAGAACCAACAAAAATCGCTGTCATTGGACCTCCCACGCGCTCACACGTGCCGACCAGAAGGAGGAATTTTCCAGCGAGATCCAGCCACGTGCCGGCGCGTGAGACTCACTCCGGCAAATTCCAGTGAGAACTTTTCATCTTCGGTGATCAACTATTCATTCCGACCCCATCCATTCAAATTCCACCACATCCCAGCGATTCTTTCCAGATTCCAGCAAACTTTTTCAAATTCTAGTGACGGCCAAAATTTTCTATATTCAGGTTTGTTTTTCTGGTTCTTAGTGGTCGCGTGCTCTAATTTCAACCGCTTGAAATTTTCCGACAACATACAGAGTGTTTCCAGCGATTCCTCATTGTTGCAACATTATACGGAGTTGTACCAATATTGTTCGCCCATTTTTTGTTTTCAGCGAGTTTTTGCAAAGTTGGCGTAATTACGAGAGGTTATTTGATTTTTGATTCGAACAAATGGCAATGAATATGTTGAATAGTTGGATGGTTTCTCTACCAAATTATATTGAGTTCCTTCAGTAAAAACTAAAAAGCACGTATCAGACATCTTTTGAGATAGCTTCTGTTGTTGAAACAGGTAATAGCATGACTTGTGTCTCTCACTCTTTTTTTCCAAACTCTTGGGTCATTAATTCAGGTGCATTTAATCACATTTGTGGTAACAAATCTGTTTTCGCTATTATTTCTTACTCTCAATCACTTTCAACAGTTACAATGGCCAATGGATCTCAAACCGTGTTAACTAGAATAGGTCAAGCTAGTCCACTTCCTTTATTACCTTTGAATTCGGTTCTTTATGTTCTTGGTAGTCCTTTTAATCTCAGATCTATCAGTCGCTTAGCCAAATCACTTAATTGCTCTGTTTTATTTCTTGATGACTTGTTTTATACAGGAATGCAGTATGGGACGAATCCTTAGTACCGGGTGTGAATTAAATAGACATTATTATCTTATCCTTGCTAAATCACACGGATTCACATCTTGTCCTCCTTCAACTGCTTAACATTCACCTGATTTATTACATAAATGGTTTGAACATCCTAGTTTATCAAAACTTCGAAAAATGGGATCCAATCCGTCTCACTTGACTCATATCAGCTTAGTAAGCATACTCTCTCACATTTCCCTCTGCATCCTGATAAACGAGTATATTTACCTTTCACTTTAGTCCATTTAGATGTTTGAGTATATTTACCTTTCACTTTAGTCCATTTAGATGTTTGAGGTCCTAGTCACGTTAGTTATACCTTGGGATTCCACTACTTTGACAATTTCATTGATAATTATTCCAGGTGCACTTGGATATTCTTGATGAAAAATTGATCTCAGCGTCCAGTAACAAGTACAAATGATTCACGTCCTATGTCAGATCCTTCACCTATTGTGGACTTGTCTCCTTCTAGTCTATCGATCACTTTGGAAAGATAATCGATTCACTCTTAATCCCAACCCCCATTACATTGGTTTGAGTTATCATCGTTTATCATTACCCCATTATGCCTTTGTATCATCTTTGTCCTCTATTTATATCCCCAAGTCCACAGGTGAAGCGCTATCTTATCCTGGATAGCGACATGCTATGATCTAAGAGATGTCTTGTTTTACATGCTAGTGGCACTTGGAAGCTTGTTCCTCTTCCTTTAGGAAAATCTACTGTTGGTTGTCATTGGGTTTATGTCGTCAAAGTTGGCCTGGACGGCCAAGCTGATCGGCTTAAGGCTCGTCTTATTGCCAAAGGGTATACTGAGATATTTAAGCTTGCTTACAGTGATACTTTCTCTCCTATGGCTAAAGTAGCATCTATTCGCCTTTTTCTATCCACTCATGTTGTTCTCCATGAGAGTGCGAAGGACGGTGTCTATTTCAGATAACCAGTTCGGGTTCATGTCGGGGCGATCTACNCCATTACTAAAAGGTAAGTTTTATAGAGCAGTGGTTAGGCCTGCTATGTTGTATGGGACCGAGTGTTGGCCGGTTAAAAATTCACACATCCAGAAGATGAAAGTAGCAGAGATGAGGATGCTGAGGTGGATGTGCGGGCATACAAGGATGGACAAGATTAGGAATGAAGATATTCGAGAGAAGGTGGTGTGGCCCCCATGGAGGACAAGATGCGGGAAGCAAGACTCAGATGGTTCGGGCACATTCAGAGGAGGAGCACTGATGCACCAGTGAGGAGGTGTGAGCGACTGGCTGTGGTGGGCACGAGGAGAGGTAGAGGGAGACCTAAGAAGTATTGGGGAAGGTGATCAGGCAGGACATGGCACGACTTAGGATTTCTGAGGACATGGCCCTTGACAGGGAATTGTGGAGGTCGAGCATTAAGGTTGTAGGTTAGGGGGAAGTTTGTGAATATTACTACAGCGCACTAGAGGGAGACTAGCCATTTAGGAGTTAGACTTAGGATGTTACTGATCAGCTACTGATGCAGGGCTGTATCTGTTGGATATTAGTATACCTTACATCCTTTTCGTATTTCCTATATTTCTTATATTGTTGTTATTTTGTTATTTTATGTTATGTATTTTATGTTATTTACTATGAGTCTATTGATAGTACTAATATATTGTCTCTTGTTGCTCTCTTGAGCCGAGGGTCTCCTGGAAACAGCCTCTCTGCCCCTCGGGGTAGGGGTAAGGTCTACGTACATATTACCCTCCCCAGACCCCACTTGTGGGATTATACTGGGATGTTGTTGTTGTTGTTGGTTGTTGTTCTTCATTGGCCTTTTTATCCGTTGGACATCAAGAATGTTTTTCTCCACGGTGATCTTGAGGATCTAATTTATATAGAACAACCACCTGATTTTGTTACTCAGCCGAAGTCTCGTGGTCTTATATGTCAATCGTGCAGGTCACTCTATGGTTTGAAACAGTCCCCTCAAGGCTGATTTGGTAAATTCGACATAGTTATTCAAGAGTTTGGCATGACTCGTAGTAAAGTTGATTACTCTGTGTTTTATCAGCATTCTGCTCCTAATCTGTGTATTTATCATGTGGTTTATATTGACGATATTGTTATTACTAGCAATGATCATGATGGTATTACTAATATAAAGCAACATCTCTTTCAGCATTTCCAGACTAAGGATCCGAATGTTAAGCTTCTGCTAGGACAGGGGGAGCCTCTTAGCGGTCCTAAAAGATATAAGAGGCTGGTTGGCAAATTAAATTACCTGACATTTCTTTTCCGGTGAGTGTGGCAAGTCAATTTATGGACTCTCCCTATGATAGTCATTAGGATGCAGTTATCCGCATGTTTCTGTTATAAAATCAGACAAAGGGCTACTATTCGAGGATCGAGGCCATGAGCAGTTAACTGGATACAAAGATGCTAATTAGGCAAGATCATCTTCTGATAGACGTTCTATGTTTGGATATTATTTTTTAGTAGGAGATAATTTAGTCGCTTGAAAAAGCAAAAAACAGAATGTGGTTGCTTGATCTAGCGCAGAATCAAAATATCAAGCAATGGTTGTGACAACATGTGAGCTATTTTGGATCAAACAGTTGCTCAGAGAATTAAAATAATTTGTGTGAGTTGTCATTCATATTGCGTCAAATCTAGTATTCCACGAAAGGACTAAACACACTGGGATTGACTGTCACTTGTCACTTCACCGAAAAGAAGATACTCTCCGAAAATATTGTTACATAGTTTGTGAAGTCAAATGTTCAGCTTGCAGATATTTTCACCAAATCCATCATTGGTGCTACATGAGTTATATATATAACAAGCTCGGTACATATGATTTATATACATCGGCTTAAGAGGGAGCGTTAGAGTTAGTATGTATACTAGTATGTATAGTGTCCCACATTGGTAAAGAAGAGTTTAGTACTATGTAAACACCTTATACAAATAGGGCTACTGTAAGACAAATGAATACAAGAGAAATTCTTTCTTCCCATATCTTAAACTCTCACAATAGCACCATTCCTAAAATCAACCCTTCGTATACTAACTAATGTAGCTCTTAATTGCAGTATCGCCTGAGCATTCTTGCAGTAAGCAAGCGTAGAAAAGAGACATATAGTTACTTGAGTAACTTCCCTTATGTGGCTATTCTTTTATAATAGAGAAATACCCGAGGGCCAATGGCACACAATGTTAAACTCGGTAGATGATGGGCCCACCCCTACCCTTCTCCACTTAAATACTTGGTTTTTGTTTGTGGCAGAGTTCGAACATGTGATGTGCGCCTAATCCACTTATCTACTTACACACATTGCACTCTTACCACTAGACGAAAGCCCTTATGTGGACAATTTTTTAGGCCCTTACTTTATTTGTTGGTGCATTTGAGGCTCAGATATGATGATAAGTTCTTGATCATAGAGCTAAGAGACATTTCTGGCATAGTAGAGATAGATAACAAAGTTACTTAAAACTGATCATTGGGTTGGTATTGTACATGTCACGAGTTTATTAAAATAACAGGGAACCAAAACTAAAATATCTTACAGTGGAGGTTGATGGAAGCCAAATCTTTGATTGGCCGAAGAAGTAGCCAATCCCACCCAACATGTTCCCCAGAGCAACCTTACCAACACTCTCAGATTCCAAACCAAGCTGAAAAGATAAGACGTAAACATTTCAGCATTTTATATTTATATACATGGATATGTTGCATCACGGAAGTTAATACAAGGAAAAATAGCTTCCAACTGCAAGTAATACTGCATCTGAAAGGTGGTACAATTAGGTCATCAGCTCGATAGACATTCATATTTCTCCTAGCATCTGAAAGAACTTGTAGAGTACTCAAAGATTGAATTCAGTCCATGTAATCAAATACATAGTAAAATTGAGAGATGTATTGATAGAAATAGAACAACTATATAACTATATAGATGGTGTTAGGAGCAGTGAATTGCTTGAGTAGGCCTACTTTCCCAGATCCATACAACGTATAGTATAGTAGTACAACATATTAGTTTCAGTTAAAATATCCGCATTTATGCACGCATGATGTAACTTACCCAAGTCTATGTTGTATATATTTGTGTGGTACAAGTAATTCAGTTAAATAAACTTACTCATGCACATCACATGAACTGCAAATAGCATAATAGAATAATATATGCCTTCAGGTGAATACCAGGTGCGCTTTGGGCGAAGGGTATCAGAGGAACTTGCAGAACAGAAGTATCCCACCATCACAAATAGAGACAGTTTCCGAGAGTAGATAAAATTAAAATTTGACTGTAGCTTTTAGTATATTCTAGTGTTTCAGTCCTCTTTATAATAAAGACATAGTAGTTTATAATCCATTTTCGAACTGAGAATAGGTCAGATCTAACATCCGAATACGATTTGTTACAAAAATTTTGGACAGAGATTATATGCCAAGCTAACAAAATGTTAGAATATGAAGACAAGCAAAATCATCAATGACTGTTCGATACCTCATCAGATAGGCTAAAGCATTTCTTAAACTTATCATCGAACTCCTTTTGCTTCTCAGATAGTAAACTGGTCAGCGATATACCTGGAATGATGGAAAGAGTTTTATTTAAAGAATGAGGAAAGGAATGGTACATATAAGATAGACAGTTTCCTCAAAACTGAACATGATACACATAAAACATTTCCATTCTGGTTTAATAGACATTTTCAGTGAAAGAAAAGTTAAAGATAACATTTCCTTGGCTCCTACAATTAGACAACGGCGACCAACATCAAACTTCAAATGGAATATGGGACATGGCAGAAAAATTGGGCAATGCTTAACTTTCTCCTATTTCAGATATGAAAATTCAGTACCGACTCCGACACTCATATTTAGTCTTAATCCTGTATAAGCAATGAGGAATATATATTGTTATTCCAGGGTCAATCAGGAAAATTCACATTCTAGACACCATCCTGAGAATCTAGCAACTGAATTCCACTATCCTTTGTTTTGGAGAAGTCTAGCTGGGGCATGGTATTAAGGGTCATAACCCTTCAAATTACTGTTTTTCTGGCTCTGGCAAAAAAGCTAAGTGGTGAAACGCCAAAAGCCACCAATATCAAGCACACTTTCATATTATGCTAGTCCTCAATCTTGGAAGTGAAACAAAGCTCAGAACCATATATTTAGATACACTGAAAGAGAGTTCCATAGTTCTTGTTTTGGTAAATGCTATGACTATTGCCTAGGATGTGGTATTAGGGGTAGGCATAACCCTTCAACTAGAGGTTTTCCTAGCAAAGAAGCTAAGTGGTGAAAGCGAAAAGCCACTAGTGTCAAACGCTCGTTCATATTATGCTAGTGGTCACAGGATTCATTTTCTCACCAAAACTTTCCTGCACGACACTCAAGTCACTTGACTCAGCCTTTCACTCAACAGAAGTTCGTTAAGGAGTTGGCATTATTTTCAGGCAATCTTCCAGCCTTTATGTTAATTATCAATTACAAAAAGGACTCACAAGTTGGCAATGTTTACAACACTCGATGCCTTAGCCATCAGCCAGCCATGGACATATATTCTACCAATGACAGTTACAAGGAACAAGGGGACACTTGGCAGATAATAAGTTAATCTTAACATGCAGTTGGCATCCCCAACTACTAGGCAACATTTTAGGGAATTCAATGGTCCAACAAAATCCATATGTCACCATGGCACATGTCTAGCTCAGACAATTGCCAACAGCCATCAGGATAGAATTAGCCTTCAACTATCTAACTGCCCCATGTGCCAGGATTGCCTGTGTCAATTGCCAACCTTGGCGCCTAATTGCCCATTTTTGGCATCAAGTGACAAGCCTTAACATTCATGCTGCACGCATGTCTTGTTTTGCAAGCCCCGCACATGCTGAACGCCCATGTCATTCACATGTCGCATGCACATGTGACCATATCCGCACTTGGCACTTGCTAAAAAAATTGTGGTTTGTTATCAGGTGGACAAACAAATCATAAATCTTTTTTTTACTAGAGTGTAGGTCAACATTACATATATACCTNTTTAAATGTAAGCCGGAATAAGCTGGAAAAACTAATATTTCAACTTTCAAAAAAATTCCTTTTTTATGCCAATCATATTCTAATGAAGTAGACACAGCATAAACCTGTTAGCCTGCTAAGCCGTTCTTCAACTCTTGAATCACGAGTACTGGTCCCAGAAAGAAAAACAATGTCTGCTCTGAAAGGAATCCTAGCAGAGATCTGGATTAAAAAGAAAATCTACTTACAGAATATAAAATCAGCAGAAGTGCAGGAAGTGTTGGTAACTGTCTCAAGGTACCTGAAATACTAAAATGCTGGGAGAATCATCAGATGAATCCGAAAGCAGCAAATGGCCAAATTTTCTTGCCTAATCCAACATGGACAAAAAGCAAGCAATTACAGGCTAAGGGGCTAACTACATAAGTTAAAAGGCAAAGATAACTTCCAAAAATGTAGCAAAGAAAAATATGATTAGAGGCATACTTGGACTGCCAAATTTGCCAGGACAAGATCAGATAAATTGTGAATGTGAGGCGTCTTGAAACCAGAATAATGTACTTGAGAAACATCCTACAAGAAGCATTTCAAATAAAAATCCAACTGCAGATAAATGCTTATGATGAGACCACCTGCTGAAAACTTTGAAAATCTCAACATTTTGGGAGATGGATAATGTCAATGACAACGGAACTATTACAGTTTTGGCATCTGCGAGGTTTGGGTAAGGCAAAAAGGAAAATCTGGAATACCATTCCTTGCCTCTCTACCTCCACCAGTAGGGGTAAGGTCTGCGTATTTACCCTCCCTAGACCCCATAATGTGGGATTGCACTGGGTATGTTGTGTTGTGTTGGAAAACCAGTCTTTCAGTGTTTTGGAGGACTATTTGGAAATAAAGGAACACGAGTTTTTAAAAGCAAATTGGAAACTGTAATAACCATGAGCATAGTTGTATATCTTCTCTCCTTAAGTCTAATATGGCCCTTTCAAATGACACTGAGGCCATGATTGATTTTCTAAGCTCATTACAGAACTCGTAATGTAGTCCCCTGCAATTATTTCTACAGCACTTATTGCTGATTTTAATATACTACTTTTAACAATAAAAAACGAAACAAAAGAATTAAAAGAGAGTCATGGAATAGAAGGCAGAATTACCATTTCAGTTCTTATACTGTTAAAAGATAAGGTACAGATTTGAAATCAATGAAATGTTCTAAAAAGGTTATAATCAAAGCATAAGCTATCATTCTAGAACTAGCAATGAACTACAGGAAAACAAAATTATGCCAACAGAGGGTACTCTGTCATGCAGCTTTCACGAAAGATAGAAATAGCAACATAATCACAGTTTCTCCCATATAATTACTACACCTCAGCGCAGAAGGGATCAGGTTCTTCTATATAGTCATCCATGCTCTAAATGACCAGAACACAAGCCACCTTAAGAAGCACATAAAACGCTAGAATCCCTTGCCTTATATGGAGCTTATGGTAGGTAAAATTTACTGATAAAAGCAGTGCATCCATATGTAAAAGGTGTTAAGGATACAACTAAAAGCTGACCACAGCCGTCGGCATCAGCCTAACTTTGGTATAGAGCAACCTAAACACCAAATGTACATTCAAACAACAACAACGACCCAGTAAAATCTCACCGGTGGTGGGGTCTGGGGAGGGTAGTGTGTACACAGACCTTACTCCTACCCGGAGGGAGCAGAGAGGCTGTTTCCGAAAGACCCTCGGCTCAAGAAGACGAAGAGAGAAAAGAGACAATATATCAGTACCATCAACAGAAACCCAAGGAATAATAACAGTATCATAAAAATCAGAAAATAGATGAAAAGCAATAGCAATAACCAGTAAATAGACCCGACACTATGAAAAACGAAATAGTCCAATACAACATTAACCACTAGCAGTCTAAGACAAAAATCCTATCAGACTAGCCTCACATAGTTACGAAGTAGAAATAGGTGCAAATACCTCCTACCCTACAACCGTAATACTCGACCTCCACGGCTTCCTATTAAGGTACATGTCCTCGGAAATCTAAAGTCACGCCATGTCCTGCCTGATTATCTCTCCCCAATATTTCTTAGGCCGCTCTCTACCTCTTCTCGTGTCTTCCAAGGCCAGCCGCTCACACCTCCTCACCGGTGCATCTGGGCTTCTCCTCAAATGTCCATTCAAACAGTTGTTGTCAAAAGCGAAAAGATCTAACCTCTAGGTCTACCGGCTTGGGGCATTAAGCACAAGTGCAATCACTATTGGCTTTAGTTTTAAAAAAGGCACAATCAAGAAAAAAAATAAAAATATATATGTAATGCAAGAAAAATGTAACAAATCCATTCATAATTTTCCTTCAACATTTAATATATCTAATTGTTTAGTACAACCCCATTCAAGATTAACTCATAGGCTTAATGCCTTGGCTACACTGAAGCAAAGCTTAAGCAAGGCAAAGTGCCCTTCCTGAAGTTTCATAAGCTTCAGGGCTCAAGCTTAAATGAGTCTTTGACAAAACTGCATTCAAATTTGACTAGTTTCTTCCTTTGGCTAAGTTTTTTTTGCAGTTAATTGAACAATGTGGTAGAAGAAAAGGCATATCTCCACCTGAGCAAAGATTACATCCTTTCTTCTATTAACTAGAACCACTGAACAGGAGCAGAAACTTGGACACCAACATTCTAATTCTACTAAAACTAGCATATACAGAAAAATATGAGGTTCCTTCAAAGATTGAGAAATAGATTTCCCGCTCATCTATTTATTGAAAGGACTGAAAATGCAAAGCATGATATATCAGCAATTTCTCTTTCTTGCCTTTACACTCATCCAAAAATCAGGAATACCTTTATCCTCCTAGCGACGTACTCTCCTCATTGCAGTCTTTAACTCCCTACCAAGCAAAACCCTTACATTAACCATCATCCTTAACATAGCTCAGTCAAGTCAGTTTTTGGTTTGAATTGGGACTTTAGACACATTTCTCTCCAATTCAATTATCTGGGTTACTTCACCCTGAGCTCACACTAAATTAACATATTCCTGTGTCCATCTTCATGTGAACCAAAGAATAGCCCTCTAAGTTATATTTTGTAATGAAGCCATTAGCATCCTAACCAGCAACAAGACTCTAAAAGCTGAATGTGACAAACAAATGGAAAGAGCATTTTGTGTGCAATCATACCTGAAGACTACAAAAGATCTTCTAGGCTCCTACTTAGCAAGTCCTTATATAGCAGCACAAATGGAGGACATAAAACCCTCCTATAAGAAAACAAAAAAGGGAAAATAAACCAGAAAGATCGCTCAAACTAGCATTATCACTTTAAAAGTTCAGTATCCTCTTCTTTTTGACAAATCAGTATCTGTATAAAATAATAAGCCCACAAAGATCAGAAGAGCTATGGAAGATATACATAAGGCAATAGTTTCAGAGAACTGCATCAATAGATGCATAATCATGGCAAGATTGAAGACAACTGAAATCATTAACTTTTCAATTGCAACTGAAAACCAGTCAGCAAACTTACCTCTGACAATAAGTGAAGCTGCCAGTCTCCAGTGTCACTACGTGATCCTGACGCCAATACAGAATCATCATGAATATCCAGGACTCCTCTACCCAAATTAAAACTTTTTCCTCCTTCATCAGCCATGTAAAAAAACAAGTGTGCGGTGTTTAACATTTCATCATCGGGTATAGATCTGTGAAGAATTTAACGGTAAATTGTATAAGGGACACAAAGCATGAAAAAAAAAAATTAAATCCATGTATTATCATTAGACTGCAGGTGGAAATACAGCTTTTTCAGAAACAAAAATAGTTCATGTTTAGGTGGTCTTTGGTGCCAAAAGTAACTTGAAACGCAAATGCAGCAGATTTCTAATAAGAGAAGGCAATACTCTGATTAAGGTCTCTTGAAGCTCGCATGCTTTTAGAGAGGAGAGACAGACATTTGGTGCATGATAATGGAGAAAGTAGTATATGATTGTTAACATATCATCTGTGAAAAATAGAAAAAATAAAGGTAAAAATAAGCAATAGTTGCAATAACTACTCCTACTACTGCTTTAAGAATTTGGCCCCACAAAATAAACTTTTCAGAGTCCAGGCAATCTGATCTCATCCAGCAATTTTACCAAACATTTGACCAGTGCATGTTAATTGTTAGGCCCACCTTAAGTTTAAAATATGCCATCGCTCTTGAAATTTATTATTCAACGCGAAATTATCTTAGATATATCTTCCAAAAAATTCTGCCAGCTAAGCTATTATTACTTGTCAGACACATTCACAAACTAGTAACGAACAAGGAAGGAGTAGCTGATGAAATCTAGCCAACCTTTTCTTTCAATTGCCAAGAGGATCACTCAATCAATCAACTACACCTATATCATCATTAACTGCTAAAAAACCAAAAGATGAATTTTGATCTGCAGCAAATAACAAAGCTTTCCATAAGATGGTGTAACGTGCTATTTCCTTACTAGAACCTAGAGGACCAAATTCTAAACATACTTTCACCTCACAACCACTAGAGCCATGTATAGGCATGTCAAGCTCAAGAAGGGAATATTATGAGAGATGGTAAGGAGAAGTACTCATTGCTCTGCGCTCCAATTCGAACAGCCCAGTCTCCGCCATAGCCACTACCATGGCCCTTCGATTTCAGAAAGCTAGTTGTCAAGGACATTGTCTGTTCAGTCAGAACCTGATGTCCATAATCCCGTCCATTATGACTAGTCCATCCATATTGTTTCAACTCATCTGAATCTTGGCATACATGACGCATGAAATACCTCCCGTCCTTCACTCCAATCCACATTAAACCAGCAACTAATGATTGTGGAGTCCTGCAAATTGTAAGAACATACCAGTAGAAGTTTTATAATAGAGTACTTTAGCATATAAAAAAGCAAGAACCATGTAACATCACAAACTATAGAGAGCATGATAGAAGAGTTGCCCTACTCAACACCAGAAATTATGGACATCCCTATTGTCAGTAATACTTCTATATAAATCAGACAGTGGCATGGAACTTGATGCATCAACAATTTCATTGCCTAGACAGAAAATGCTCAATTGTGACACAATTAGTTGTTGAAGTGTGCCCATAGTTGAACCAACAAGGTCTATTCAAAATAGTTGAACCAGCAGAATATCAGGCATTATAGCACTCTATTTATGAGAAACATCCTTCACAACAAAAACAAAAAACCCAGTGTAATCCTACAAAGTAGGGTCTGGATCCTTCTGTTTCCCCGACTCCAAATATTTAAACGGAAATGACCAACTATTATGCAATTACTGCAAAACTTAGCCATGTTTTTGTGCAATCTTTGCACCAGATTTCACAGCTTGTCAGTTGTTGCATTCATTCGCTGCATGATATTACGAATTAGGTCCAGCGAGGTTAAATAACAGCATAACTTTGCAAGATACTTTCTTCAGATTATGTCAATAGAAGATGAACTTGTTTTATTTTTAAGCTAGAGTGACAATAACCAAAGAAATAATACCGTTCACATTAATTCTAAAACATTTTTCTCTACCAGTCCACATTAACTCTACGATTATCTTATAATGTCAAAAGATACCATTCGATTCCTTATGTAATCCTTTCATCTCTTACTTTATGTAACCTTTATTGAGTTAGGATGTCCCAGGATTCCAGTATATCACATTAAATAAGCATTTTATATCATCTTTAAAGCTACAGCGCATTGACCACTCTTTTCCATGTTTTTGTTGTACAATTTTCAATATTTGAGTCCTTTTATTTCAACAAATGCAGGACCAAGAAACTGGCATGGCCTAGGTCAGTAACCAAATATTAAATCACAAGCCACTAATGAGAAAGAACCTGAGTCATGGATAATTGAATTTTTTTAAAAGAAGGGGAAAAAGGCACCATCATAACGCAGACAATACACCAAAACCTTAAACTTTATTGAATCCTTAATTCTTACCTTCTAGCTTAAGATACAACAGGTAGTACTACCGTTATGTCTCAATCACAAATTAGACGGTTCAACTTTATGATTCCACAAAGTCCATTCCGCTCTATTTGGATAGGCTTCATTCCAATATTATTGTAAGCATATATCTATATTTACTAGTTTTATACTATCAATATACCATATGAGCAGAATATATTATTACCTTGCACGAACTCCGAAATAAACTTGAGGCCTGTAAGTACCCCAGTATAAGCTCTCTCTATGCTCTCCTTGAAACTGCCTCAAAATGTATAAATTATCAAAAAAATAAAATGTCAATGGAGAAGGAAACAAATATTCGGTGTTTAATTTACCATTGGAAGATCCGTTAGTTTTGGAGCTGGAAGTGGAGTGATCACTCTGGGTTTTTGAGGTTTCTCCATGGGATTAACGATCGGATAAATGAAAAAGAGTGCGATCACAAAGGAAATAATCCCAAACCCTAGCAGGAACTTGAGGTTCACATTGAAAATGCGAATTAAGCTGTTATTTCTTGTTTTATCCTTTCGTAGTTTTGGATTGAGAGGACTGAGAATTGGGGCATTTTCGGCGGAAGATTTCGAAGCTCTGCTTCGAGTACTTCCCCGTGAAGTTCCCGCCATTGTTGGCCGTTTGTTTCCAGTTTCGCCGTCTGTGACGGATACTGGGAGTGAAGAAGTGAAATGGTAGAGGAAGAGGACGTTGAATTGTTCAGAAACGGTCTTGGGCTTTGATTCTATAGTCAACCTTTCAGCCCACATATATGACAAAAAATTTGTTTTTTCCTGCAAAAGAAAATACTAAGAGCCGTTTTAAAAACTTAATGACCGAAATATTTTTCTTTTTAAAAAATAATAAAATATGCTCCTTTTAAAGATTATATTACCTAGATACCCCCTACTTTTTATGTCCAAAATCCACCTAAAACCCTCCTTGGTTTCTTTATGGAAAATTACCATCTATCTCCATTTATAATTAGCTCATTACAAAAATTGACCAATTGATAAAATATTACTAATATTAACCAAATTAACAAATTAGCTATTTGTAGCAAAAAAATATCAAATTTGCGCTTTGTTTTGTGTGGGTGTTATTAGAATAGATTGAGCACAACTTAAGGAGCTTGAATCTCAGTTTTGGGGTGATTTGGTGAAGTTTTGAGGTGGTTTGAATTGAAAATTCGAAGTAAAAGCTGAACATGAAAAAAAGATATGTGTATCACACGGTGTATCATTTGTGTATCACATATGTATCATATTCGTATCAATTATGTATATGTATATCCATGTATACATGTGTGTGAGATACATGCGTGATACATGTTTGATACATGTGTCGTAGAAGACTTTTTTGAACTCGATTTAATTACGAATTTTGATACAAAACCAGTCCAAATCACCTCTAATATTCCTCAAATTTTGTATATTGACTTATCTATATATTTTCAATGAATTTCAACTATACTCATTGAAAAAGTTCCTTTTTTGTTTAGATTTTTGGAATATTGTATAGATTTTTGTATTCAATCACCTTATTTGCTACCTCGTCCATAAAATTTCCTTTCCGTCTTATATCTAATGTTGCTAATCATGCTTAAAAATATGGAAGGTGATTTTTGCATGTGATTCTTTGAGAGAAAGAACCCTATTATTTAATTTTTCAATTTTTATTGGCTAGTTTTGTTAGGTCTATGACTAATGGCTAGATGTTGGTAAGTTGAGATTTATTTGGGACATTTGTGTAAGTTTTCCTTTCTTTATAGCTAAATCGGCGAATACTAGAATTTAGTATACTACATTAAACATGGTATACCAATATGTAGTATATCAAGAATACGAGATACCATGATTCAATAGTAATTATGGTATATCAATGTGTAGTATACCAAGAATATTAAGTATACCGTTTAACATACTCAAACAAAGTATACTATAATTCAACACTAATTATGGTATATCAATATATATTATACCAAAGATATTGGATATACTATTTAACATACTCAAACAATGTATACCATGATTCAATACTAATCATGGTATACACATGTTAGTATACCAAGAATATTAGAAATACCATGATGGAACAATAATCATGGTATACTAATGTGTAGTATATCAAGAATACTAGTTATACTATTTAACATACTCAAACGAATTATACCATGATTAATAGTAATTATTGTATAACAAAAAGTATTATACCAAGAATACTAGGAATACCGTGATTGTCGAATCATGGTATACCATAGTATACCAAGAATATTAAGAATACTATTTTAAAAACTCAAAAGTAGTATACCATGATTCAACTATAATCACGATATACCATACCAAAAATAGTATGAATACCATTTAACATGCTAATAAATATAGTATACCATGATTCGACACAAATCACAATATATCATGATTCAATAGTAATCATAGTATATCTGATTCAATTGTAATTATTATACTAAAAATATTGTGAACATCATTTAACATACCAATAATCTTAGTATACCATTACTCGACTATAATAATAATTACGGATAAGGGTTAAATATACCTTTCTACTATGAGAAAAGGATCAAATTTACCCTTTGTTATACTTTTTGTTTAAAAATACCCTTGTTGTTATATAATTAGGCCAAATATACCCCTCATCCATTAAAGTTGTCCAAGGTAGCCCCATTTTCTATTTTAATTTTATTATTGCGTCGTCTACTAAATAAAAAATATGTTCGGTTGAGTTTGAACGACTAACCTATTAATGTTATTAGAGAGCAATATCTAATATGTCAAGAGTCAAATTTTGGTTAATCTAGCATTAATAAATTATTTGGTTGATATTTGAAGTTCTTTTTAATCTTCTTTTTCTCCTTTCATCTTCTCTCGGCAAGAAATTCATTAAGAACGATTTGTAGAATCAAATAAATGATAAAATTTCTGTGTATTTTTTACTTCTTTATATAAAAAAGTATTTAATATTATTCCTAATAAGGTTATTTTGATACATTTCTAAAATAAAAATTTATCGATAAGAGTAGTAATTTACCTGAGTTGTGGTTTATTATTAGAAGAATTTGAACGGTATTTTTTAAAATATGATATTGTTAAAGTGAATTGTTAGTCGTTCACTATTTTAGATTGTGACACCACTTATAAAAAATCCTGCGTATGTCACTGGTGTCATATCACCAGTATGTGTTCAATAGACACAATAGAACTTGAGTTTAAGTGTCTAATAAGTACAACCTTCAGTAGGCGTCCAAATGAAAAACATGGGCAAGTTTAAGTGGCAGCTTATGTATTCAACCTTTTTTGTTTCAACGGATAAGGGTCAAATATACCCCTCTATTATGAGAAAAGGATGAAGTTTACCTTCCGTTATACTTTCTGTCTAAAAATATCCTTGTTGTTATACAATTAGGCCAAATATACCCCCCATCCGTTAAAGTTGTCCAAGGTAGTTGCCCAATCCCACGTGGCACTGACATTTTGGCCATGTGGCATGCCACCTCACTGCCGAAAAACCCATTTTACCCCTCTCTTTCCCCTGGGCATTTAATAAACGCGAATTCTCCAAGCAGATTTGTGTGCACCTCCCCATCGATCATCTAATAAGGTAACGAACCAAAATCTGTAATATTTAAAAATGATCAAAATGCTGGTGTTGATTTTAAAAGAGTGAATAATTTCTAGTTTGGTTGGTCTTTTTCTTTTTTTTTAGGTTACAGAAACAAGAAACAAGAAAGTTTTATTCCTTCAGAAATTGTGAAGCATTCAGAATAAACTGCTGAAATATGGATATTATTTCCCATGATTTAGAAGATTATTTAAGAGAACCCCTGTATTATACTACAGATATTAATTAACAGTATGTAAAATTTGTTGCAAGTCTCTACCAAGTCTTATGAGAAGTTGGAAAAGCACGATAGTTAGTACTTGCTGAAGTTTGAGGACACTCTGCGGTCTAAGTTTCTCAGCTGACAAAGTTGAGATGAATTTATCTTTTGGCTGGCCATCAGAAATACTAATGAACTCAACATTTGAAATACCAATGAAATTTTTTATTTCAGAAGTATTTCAAGTCATATGAAATAATGGAGTTTTACTTATAAATAATCTTCAAGTTTTTTTTCATGGAATCAAAGTCCAAACATAACTAGACCTTGTAGATACTAAATCTTAACTTTAGATTTAAATATATGTTTTTCAATTTCAATCAAATATTTTCCAAACACATACTGGAGTTGTCAAGAACCCTACATCATGGCCAGCTTTTAATTGGTAACATCAGAGACCTTTACAGTGTTGGAAAGTCAAAAGGTAGAAATTATTATTATATTTTATTTGCAGTGCATGAACTAGAATAGGTTTTGGGTTGATTAATCCTGCACTTGCAAGATTTTGTTCATGCATTCTTAGGAGTTGCTAGTTGTGGGAGAAGAAGTAAAAGAGACGGGTAAGATGGGTTTACGGCAGCGAGGTGGCATGCCACGTGGCCAAAATGTCAGTGCCACGTGGGATTGGGCAGCCACTTTGAATAACTTTAACTGATAAGGGGTATATTTTGCCTAATAGTATAACAGCAAGGATATTTTTAGAGAGAAAGTATAACGGAGGATAAACTTGATCCTTTTCTCATAGTAAAAGGATATATTTGACCCTTATCCATAATAATTATATGAAATATATTGTGAATATCATTTAATATACCAATTTTTTGTATACAATGATTCAACAGTATTCATGGTATAGTAAATATGTATCAATATACTATTACTATTGAGATTTTATGAACATTATTTAACATACTAGTAAACAAAATATATCATGATCTTAATTATGATATACTAAATCTTATAATATTGAATAAACATAAATTAAAAGTATATGTATACTAAATAGTATAATATTTATTAAATTTAATATATTTTATTTTTTTCTTTATGTAATACTAACATTATATTCTTTGTTAAATATGTTATATATTCTTAAAAACACTTCTTGATTATAAAGAAATGGATTGAACGAGCGCAAGAATTAAAAAAGAGAGGTGAAACGATAAGGACATAACAAGCATAGCACCTATACTATGCGGCAAACTGTAACAAGTGTTTGCTACTTCTACTCAAGCTATTTTTTATCTCTCACTGCAAGTATTTACTAAAGTCCTTGAACATATCATTTATCAAAAATATACAAATATTTTCTTGAAAATGCACTAATATGGGCACACCTGAATTTAAAATTCGACAACTAAAGTTCGCGATTTCTCATAACTAATGTAATTTTGGGTAATTTTGAGGTGAAGTTAAAAAAGGGTACTAAAATTATCTTTGACTATGAGTTTTAACCAAAAAAAATAAAATAGTAAAAGTTGAAAATCTAAGTGAAAGTCAATATTTCACATAAAATACACCTTCAAGCTAATATTTCAATGTCTTATTTAAAGATGAATTAACTTCATATTTATTTAATATAATGAATTAGTAAGTAGTTTGACATTTTTATGTCCAATTATTATATAGTATTTACTTATTCCTCTTCCTGTTTTGTTCCTAAGCTACAGGGGAAAATGCAAAAGAGAAGAAAATGGCACACGTAGGTTGAATTAAGGGGCATGCTAGGAAGTACTCCTTATGTAGTAGACAAAGAAATAGGAGGTAGTTTGGGAGTAGCGGCTAGAATTTGAGTATTTAGGGGCGGGTTGGGTAATTAAGTTATGCTGCTAGGGCATTTATGTCTGAATCCATAATTTATATGTACTGATTAAAGTATT